GTCCTTTACATTGTAGCTGTTTAGCAGCTTTCTTGGCCTTTACCCACTAGATGCCAGTGGCAACCTCCCCCATCCAGTTGTTTTAACCCAATAATGTCTCCAAATGTTGTCCAGTCTCATCTGGAAACACAAATTGCCCTCACTTGATAGCCATTCATCTAATTGTTTTTTTTCTTAATTTCAGAAACAAATCTCCGTACCCATCCAGTTCTACTTCTCTCAGTCCTTATAATTAAAAAGTTATGAGGGTAGATAACTAGTGGGAGCATAAATAAAATGTGATTTATTTGTTATCAATGTTGTTATGTAGTCTTGAGAAATAGTGGGAAATTTAACTTTGGATGAATTCTAATGCTAAATTGGTACATCCTTAGTAACCAATAATGTTTGTTAAAAAATAAAGTGGAGCTAGCTGGTGTGGCTCAGTGGTTGAGCATCAACCCATGCACCAACAGGTCATAGGTTCGATTCCTATTCAGGGCACATGCCCCAGTGGGGGGCATGCAGGAGGCAGCCAATCAATGTTCTCTCTCATCTATGTTTCTATCTCTCTCCCTCTGCCTTCCTCTCTCTGTAAAACCAATTAAGAAAAAAAAAATTTTTAATTAAGTGATATTTTCTAGTAACAATGAATAGGCTTAATATCTGGTAGATGTGTATCACTTACATCATGGCAAACTGTCAGTAAATATGCCATTGAGCAATCAAATGGTATAAACTGAACTTATTCTGCCTCCAAATAGATTCATAGTTTTGGAAACATAATCCCAAAACTTACGCCATAAGAGTAGAATTGTCAATGTACCAGTTTGTATAAGTGTGCATAATATACTTTGTGTAAAATGTTCACAGAGATTCAATGCTTGAGATTTTTATGGGTGCATTGATTTTTGTGTGACAGTTTTATGAAATTAGATATACTGAAAAGGGAAGATGTAAGTGTGTTTGCTTGCCTTTCCTGTTATTTTTTTTTTAATGCTCATTTTTACAATGTCATTGATTCATAGTTAAGATAAGTAACCCATCTGATATTTTTGGGTTGTGGTTAAAATGGGCAATCCACTAAATGTTTATCTAGTGCTTTATGCTTCGTTTTGCTGTTTTTCACATACAATATAGATTATTTTATTCCCAAGGGTGATCTTTTTTCTATAGTGGAAACACTGAGCACATTTTTTCTCTTTTGCTTTCACGTTAATACCACACTCAATAATTCTCTTTAAATGTTGCCTTCATATGTGATAATTTTATTTATTTATTAAGAAAAGTTAAAATAGTTATCCCTCTATTCTGTACCTTTTAGATAATTAACACATATTTGATAATTGACCTAATAGCAATGTTACATTAAATTCATTTAATTAGTCCACATTTTAGTGCACGCCTACTCTGGACATGGTGGGTTTATGTTGCTAGGCCTGTTAGGGCTCCATAGGTGCATTCCAAGAGGCTCACTGTCAATAATAATTTTACAAGGAAAGATTAGTACAAATAACTCTAATGCAATGTGGATTTTAATGAAGCTATAAGAAGGAACCAAGTAAAGGAATGGGATACTAATGAGAGAAGGTATCCTGGAGAGGTGGCGCCCTGTGCTTCATCCCGTGTCTTCAGCTGCCTGCTGGAAATCCCACCTAGAGGGGAGGGACGAACTCTGTCCCTTTCCTCTTGGCAGCAACACCCACTCTCTTTAGAGTGCTATCCTGTCCACATCCTGGAATGATTTGCAACATCTTGAGCTCCTGGAGAAACATTCTATTAAATCCAAACAACCCATACCATGGACAGATTTTTAAAATACATCTCTTTACACTTTCCCTGATTTAGTGAAGGATGATTTTGGAGATAAAGTCATGAGGCATCCAGTTTTGAAGTAGATTGTCCCGTACTGAAGCAGCTCTGAGTGGGGGGTAATCCATTATTACCATAGCATGATGGCTTAGCAGGAGAATTCTCATTTCCTCTATAGGCCAGCCGGACACACAGTTAAACCAATGCACCTCTTAGATGCAAGCTCATTATGCTTACTGGCTAGTCAGTGAGTGCATGCTGGGAACCTGGGTCTGTATTTAATCAGCATTTCCTCATTTCCAAATAGTCAGGCATTCTGTGACTGCCATGTGTGACTGGTTATTTTCATTTAACAAATAAATTCTACAAATTGAGACTATTTGACTCTTACCACATTTTTTTCTTATGTATACTTTTTATGGTTTAAAATATTTACTACCTTATATAAAAACTCCAAAATTAATTAGTTCTGAAATTGTGTTATTCTTTTGCTTATTTCTCAGTATAAAAGTTTTAGTCACATTGTAGAAAGATGATTTTCTACTTAATAGTGTCAATACATTTACTTTGGAACTGTTGATTATATAAAAAACAACAACAAGTATTTGGAGGAGTGGTTTTCTTTTAAGAAATACTACATTGTGTTCTGGTGCTTGGAGTTGGCTAACTGTACTGAGTTAGTAAAAAAAGTGAACGTAAGTGTATGTTTTGAATTCTAATACACCTTTAACTTATTTGGACATAAAAGACAAATTTAAAAGTTAAATATGAATGAACACAATGTAAAAATAAGGAGTTATGTAGATTGTCATAGCAAAATTTCCACATAATACATTGATTCAAGTAGGTGCATTTTCATGGATCTGGCAATTTTGCTGAAATAGTCAATAACTTCTTTAGATAAGATAGCTCTGTATCCTTTCAGAGAGTAATTTGGAGTAATGATATGTGTGGTAATTTTAAGTTTTCCTTGGACAAAAATTGCTAAAATATCAAAAGGACCCTAAAGACGTGACTTAGAAACTACCTTGTGATGATAAGAAAATTCTCCCAATTCCTTTGTGGAGTTTGGGATTAGGGTGGGGGTGGGGTAGAATATAACGTAGGTAATCATATGTCTTGTGTCCACACTGTGACACCCTTAGTTCACATGACACGCAATTACCAGACATTTACTGTTTTATACCAGATTAGTTTTGGGAGGTACCTTAATGAATTAGGTAAAATCTTGGTCTTTATTTGATTGATGAGCCATTTTTGTGTATAATGTATTACATGGTATCTTTTTCCAAAATGAACATATTAGGTCCATATACTGGGCTAAACAGCATTCAAAGTACATCTCTGTGATATCTGTTTGCTGCTGTGTTGAGCTGTGTAAATGAAAAAAGTGCAAGTAGAAATGAGATAGAAGATTTAAAATGCATTTATAGAGGTACAGTTCCAATTTTCTCAGTAGAAAGTAAAAATGTAGTAAATCTACATGAACAACTTCATTTATGATCTAGAAGACAGCAAACAGCCTATTCATTAATTCATAAGCGATTCTAAGTTGATAAGTACCACAAGCATCACCAAGGACAGAAATATGATGCCATAAAAGAACAGAACAGGAAGAGTAAAATTGAGTCTGGAAAGAAGCAGCAAGTATCCATGAAGTTAGCTTTGCACTCCCTCATGGAGAAGTTTGAATTAGCAAATGCATCTGATCAATCCCAGTAATATCTGTATGGTAGAGAAACATGTCTTGAGTAATAGAGATACTAAATGATACCTTAATTTGCCTGTGTTTAAGAAAATAAATAGGTTGAGAAGAAACAAAACACCTGCATAACAAGGCACCCAACTAATTAAACAAAATAATCATCCTAAATAAAATACATAATTCAACAAAAATTTATGAGGTAAGAAGGTCTTTTGTACCACCGGAATTTTTAAAAGACTCAGCCTTTCTCCTTCTTATGAAAGATACGAATTGACCTCTATGTCCCTACATTGGACAGCCTGTGGATAGGACATCAGCTTCCTGTCTATGCATGGGTATGGAATCTCTATCTCTGGTTGTTCTGACCTGAGAGGAAAGCTTAGTTTGACTTGGTTTGGAAAATACAGGAGAATGTGGTGTTTTAATTGTTTTGCTGTCATGTTCCTGGCTCTTTCCGTCCATCCTTCATGCCCCAGAGTGCTGAACAGCTGGCTCTGCAGCAGTGAACAGGGTCTAGGACAATCTTCCTGTGGGGCTGACATAAATCTTGCCAAACTGATACAGAGAGAATTTTTTCTTTGCTTGTTTTTTTTTTTTTATTTCCAGATTCTTGATAGAATTGAAGAGAACTACATCACATGAAGTATTTACCCCTTCTCCACTAATCTGTGTTCTTTGCCCCTTTCTTTCAAGTTTCAGGGAGAGATTCTTTTGGGTTTCTAAAATAAGTAGTCAGTCATTCAAATAAACTATTTTCCTTCATCTTTCTTGAAATAGAAACAACAAAAGTGGTTTCTTCGTCGCCCATAAAAGATTGAATTCGTTCTAATGTGGTCAGAAATGCTGGTAGCAAGCTGTCTCTCCAGCAGACAACCTGCTGCCCTCAGCAGCTGCAATGAGGCTTAGGCAAGATGATGCTAGCTTTGATTACCTCAATGCAACACCTATCCACTTATTGGGACCTGCTCACGCACATCTCCCTGGAATGGGCGTTCCAAACTCATACAGATCAGATGCAAACTCTGAAATCTAGTCTACATTCTATGGTGGTAGGGCATAACTTGAATATCCCATCACATAAGACTTTAGGAAATAGTTGTGGAAGAATAAGTACAATTCAGAATTGAGTAAATGTGCCACATTATCAATCATCTAATTCTCAAAGTTACTTAAACAGATGGAGTTCTGTGTGAATGACCTTTTCCTAGACAAGAAGATAAGCCAGTGGGAAATCAATACCCATTTAACTTTATTTGCCTGTATTACTCATACTCAGATTGTTTATTGCTGAATTGAGTTTAATATAATAACATCTATCTGTTGAGTGGTAATTAGGTCTTTCAGGAGAACAAGTGATACTTAAGACTCTAAGAGAGTACATAGCAATGGTTCATCCTGTATGTAATTATTTTTCTCGACTGGTCTTGTTGAGTCTAATCCTGTGGAGCATGAATGCGGATGCAGGCATGGCTGAGGCTCTAATGTTTTTATTCTTCTCTGACAGGTGTGTTGTAGAGGACAAGAACTCGAAGGTGGCCTGGTTGAACCGTTCTGGCATCATTTTTGCTGGGCATGACAAGTGGTCTCTGGACCCCCGAGTTGAGCTGGAGAAACGCCATTCTCTGGAATACAGCCTTCGAATCCAGAAGGTGGATGTCTATGATGAGGGTTCCTACACGTGCTCTGTTCAGACACAGCATGAGCCCAAGACCTCCCAAGTTTACTTGATCGTGCAAGGTAAGAGAAGGATGGGTTAGGTTGGTGATAAAGGAAAGGTGGGAGACACTGAATTATCATGATGACAAAATACTTGTATAATCCTTTCTGGGAGAGAAAAAAGGAAAAATTTTAAATACGTTATGGCACTTAAGTATCTGTTTTCTCTCTAAAAGGATACTTAAAATGAGAGGACTAAGGAGAATGTAGAGATTTGAGTCTTGCCACAGTGAGCCAGTACCCTTGGTGAGAATGTTTTCTCCTATCCCTGAGTGTGAAAACACACAGCAAAGGCCACAGCTGTTGGAAGGAAGTTGAAACAGGAGCATAAGCACACACAAAGCTTAGAACCATGTCAAGTCCTCTCATGCAGTGAAGTATGGCCTACTTTGCTGAAGGTTTGATTTTTACCTGTCCTCAGCCTTAAAATATGTCACTAATTACCTGTTTTTATTATAGTAAATGTTGTTTGGAAAAGTAAACATTTCCACAGTCCTTGACATCCTCTCAGCTGGCCAGCTTTCTATGTAGTTTGTGTCTCCATCTAATGGCAACTTATTTGTGAGCAAACCCAGTGACAAGGATCTGCATAGTCATTGGGGGCAATCTGCTTCTAGATTAGGTTCCAAAGACACATCTGAGTCACCGTTTTACAGGATGAAAACCCTTAATGGCATATACATGCCCCCAAACTATAGCTCTCTTGGGCCCCTTACCCCATAATTGCAGAATGAGAACAAAACTGATCAGCTGCATGATTTTATTACAAGCAAAGTCAAACCACCGGCAGTTTCAATCCATTTAACGAGATCTAAGCATCAACAAATATTAGGGCTGTGTTCATGTATTCTTGATTTACAATTTTATGTAAATTTAATGCAAATTAGGCATGGCCCTAGGGCTTCTGTCAAGATTCCAATGCAGTCAGTAGTGTGGCAAAGTTTGACTGTAGCTTCTATTAATGTGTATGGAATTGATTATTGCAGCATTTAAATTATTGCTCTTCTAACTCCTCTGATTAATAGGTTGAAACTGGAGTAAAATATATCAGAGGCTGCCTGGTGCAGGGGTGGTATAGTCATGTGACCTCCATCTTGGTCCATTTGCAATGGCTGACAGCTTCATTTTATTGCTTTTAAAAGGCATGTCTACTGACTTGCAGAATTCCTATCACAACCAAAGCATAGAATGCTTTCCTTTTACTTTAGTAGAGAGTACTCGAGATCCCATAACAACAGACACCAGGGCTTGGATCTCAGGAAGCCCATTTAAAATGTTTAAACATAACTAGAAAATTATAAATATGTAAATGGGTTAATTTATCATTTTCTTCAAAACATAAACACACATTCTGCCTCTCTTTCTCTTCCTCCTCGCCCATTATATGTGTGCATACACACACATACATACACACACACACCTCAAAAATCAAAGAAGTTCTACTTCATTGAATAGCAGAAAAAGGGAAGATAAGGTCTTTAGAACAGATTTTATCTAATGACCAGTTTTACATTATATTATGAGGTTGCTACACAATCAGTATTTGTACCTTTAATGTCATTGGAAAGCCACTAGAAGCCATGCTAGAAATTATGTATTGCCTTATACTGAATAAAATAGGACAATCTAAGTAGTACATTCCTTGGTCTCTAGATGAGGAAACAAAAGTTCATTAAAATTAGGGTCCTTGATCAAGATCACACAGAGAATTCAGGGATCAGTTTAGAGTAAAACCAACCTAGAGTCAAATCTGAAGCACTTTCTACTAGAATGAAAAAATTTTATTATCATTTTAAGAATAATATGCTTTCTCTTTTTCTTAGACATTTGTACACTTTTTAGCTATGATCACCCTGTGAAGGTTAGAGCTAGAACTGGGTTAGATGGTGCTGTGCACACCTCCATGCCATGTCATCAAAAGTATAATTAACTTAAATTTAACTTAATAGTAAGAGATAGGTGAATCTACTATGTGCCAGGTACTATTTATTCCTTGTCTCATTTAATTCTAATAATATTATTAAGTAGGTGTTAATAACTTTATTATAAATATGGAAAAACTTAAAGTTCAGGGTTAATTAAGAACTTGCTGAAGACTCCCTGTTGGCTGAGAACAGGGTTTCTACTCCATATCTGTTCGATTCAAGATGTTATTAAATTTTTGTCTTAATCATGTTTGTTTGAAAGAGAAAATGAGCAGCAAAGCCTGTTCTTATAAGGGAGATGAAGAAAGGATTGTCTCTTCCTTGAGCCTGAGTCATGGAGGGGCATTTTCGGACAAGTATATTGATGTTGGCATTTGATCTTTAACACTGATGGCCGAACCACTTCCCCGTAGGCCATTCGATTTTGTGATTATGTCAGGGTTCCAGCCCTGTATGCTGTTTGTTCCCACTGCTTCCTGCTCCATGCCTCAACTCTGAGGGTTTCTACCACTTCAGGGGTTCTGCTTCTGGGTATGGCTGCCATCCTTCTGTTCTCCAACCCCACAGCACCTTCCTTCCGAATAGCAGGGTCTTTTGAGTATTTCAAGTTCTGCCTTGCTCACTCTCCATGGTTTCTGCAAGTTCAACTTAACTAGTTGTTAAGTAAATACTGTATTCTGTTTCCTTGCCTACCCTTTGAGGCCACCCTTTGCTCAAAGAGGGTCTGAGATACACTAAAGAAAGCAGTTCAAAAGTCAGCTGTGCATACACACTGGTTTGACACTCAGCTTTTCTTCTAGCTACTTAAATAAATTTGGGGGTAAACCACTTAATTTCTCTAGGCTTCTTCTTTTTTTTTTTTTTTCATATGTGAAATACAGGTAGAGTTAACATTTTAAATCCCATAAATTTATTGTGAGGATTAAATTAGATGATCTATGTAAGTTTCTAGTCTGGTGCCTGGAGAGCATGAGTTCTCAGACAATAGACATTGCTGCTGCTGCTGCTGCTGCTACAGTATCTTTCAGAAGGCTCACTCTGTCCCTGGGGGTGCTACCCAGTGTCCAACAGCTGATGCCCTTGCCTGTTACTTTATGGAGGCTCTGGGCTTTTATATTGGGTCATTCCAGGCTTTTTCCTTTAGCACCCAGTCTTTAACTTTACTTCTTTAGGATTCTAAAGACTTCTTAGAGCAGTATCACTTTTAAGTTCTTAGCTACATTTATTATAGATGTTTGAGGATAATATGTTACCTTTACTTTTTTCCTGTTTTTCTTTATTGAATTTATTGGAGTGACATTGGTTAATAAAATTTTATAGGTTTCAGGTGTACAATTCTATGATACATCATCTGTGTATTGTATTGTGTGTTCATCACCCCAAGTGAAGTCTCCTTCCATCACTATTTATCCCCCCTTTACCTTCTACTACCTCCCTCCACCCCCCTTGCCCTATGGTAAGCATCATACCATTGTCTTTTAAATTAGTGGTACCTCTCCAAGAATTTCTAATTAAGAAGTTTTGGGGTGATGCTTGAGAATTTAGATTTCTAACAAGTTCTCAGATGAGGCTTATGCTATTGGTGTGGGGAATCACACTTTGAGAACCAGTGCTTTAAAAGAGTCATGTCCCTTAAAAACATCTGGGGAAGTAATCCTGCATAATTTCATTTGATTTCAGACAGTGCTACACCCGCAAATATGTCAAAAACAAATTGTGTTGGGCATGAGACAGAGAACAGGTAAATTGACAAATAGTTTAACTTTCTCTTAGGCTGATTACCTAGCCTAGTCCTGTGGAAAGAAAATCTCCTCTTTTTCTAAACTGTCCATTTTCAAGTATCAAAGCTGGGGGAAGAGAAAGGAAAAAGAAAGGTTGAGACACAATAACTGCTCTAGAATTCAAAAATCTTTATAAATGTTTAAGTGTCTGAACTCCCTCACATTTCCCCTGGCGCGTCCTTCCTTCCTTTTGTCTATATTCCCACCATGCTAGTGACTTTGCAACATCTCTAACATTTTCTTTCTTATTTTGTTGACTATTTTTCACAAGTGAGTTTTATCAGTTCGTGAGGGTCATTACATGCAAAATATCCTATGTTTAAATAAATATCCTTCATGCTTTTCTAAACTCAATCTTTACCTACATGACATCTCCACACACCTTCCTCATGAGGTACACAGGTAAAAGTTTTTGCATCAGCAAATATACAAATCAGTAATGACCTCTGGAATCACTTGTGTTCAGTGGTATTAAATATTGTATCACTGGAAGCCAAGGCTTTTCACATTTATACATGCATTTTAGATAATATATTGTGGGACCCATTCCTAAAGCAATGTAAATCTGGATCCTATATGATCTTCTTGGCAGATTCTAAGATCAAAGATTAAGAACATATCACCTTGCCCTAGCTAGTTTTTCTCAGTGGTTAGAGCATCAGCCCATGGACCAAATGACCATGGCTTCAATTCCAATCCAGGACATGTACCTGGGTTGCCAATCTCTGGCCCTGGTCAGAGTCTTGCGGGAGGCAACCAATTGATGTGTCTCTCTCATATCAATATTGCGCTCTCTCTCTCTCTCTCTCTCTCTTTCTTCCCCCTCATCCCTCCCTTCTTTTCACTCTCTCTAAAAAATCAGAGGAAAAGTATCCTCAGGTAAGAATTAACCAAAACAAAAGAAAGAAAATATCACCTTTAACTTCAATAAAATAAACATAGTACTCTGACATCATTCTCTTTAATAATGCCAATTTCTTCTCCAAAAATTACTCTGCTACGATTTCCTGTTTTTTTTTTCTGATCATGCCACAGATGGAAACACTTGTATTAAGGCAATATATAGCTCTCTATCCTTTTAAAAAAAAATGTTTATTACAGTTATTGGAGTGACATTGGTTAATAAAATTATAAAGGTTTCAAATGTACAATTCTATAATACATCATCTGTGTATTGTATTGCGTATTCATCACCCCAAGTCCAGCCTCATTCTATCATTGTTTATCCCCCTATACCTTCTTCTACCTGCCCCCCTGCCCACCTCTTTTCTCTGGTAATCACTATACTGTTGTCTGTGTCTTTTTGTGGAGTTTT